TTCTACCCTCCCCCGCCTCGTCCAAGACAGGACTTTGCTAGGAGGCGGGGTCGAGGCGGTAGGCGAAGGTCGACCGGCCCTCAACCCGGTCAGAACCAGGGCCAGCCTAGGCCACCTTCAGGGCCTAGGCAAACCTTTTGAAGGTGTGGTCGAGGACGGCACCTCAACCGGCTTCCAGGATTCGGTTCCCCCCTTCCGGGATCGCCTCTCCCGTTTCCACCGTGCTTGGTCTCTTATAACATCGGACCGCTGGGTCCTTCGCATGGTGGAGAGGGGATACGCCCTCCAGTTTTCCTCGCCCCCCCCCCTCCCACTCCCCTCCCCGTCCCTCTTCAGGGACCCTTCTCACGAGCAACTCCTTACACAGGAGGTTTTTGGGCTCCTTGCTATGGGGGCCATAGAGGAGGTTCCATCGGAGCTAAGGGGCAGGGGGTTTTATTCCCGCTACTTCCTGATACCCAAGTCGAAAGGGGGTCTGCGGCCCATCCTAGACTTGCGCGGACTCAACAAATTCATAGTAAAGTTGAAGTTCCGCATGGTATCATTGGGGACCATCATCCCTTCACTGTATCCTGGAGACTGGTTCGCCGCCCTCGACTTGAAGGACGCTTATTTCCATATAGCGATTTATCCGCCCCACAGGCGCTTCCTGCGATTTGTAGTAAACAGGGTGCACTACCAATTCGCAGTCCTTCCCTTCGGCTTGTCCTCGGCTCCCAGAGTGTTCACAAAGTGCCTGGCAGTCGTCGCGGCCTTCCTTCGTTGACAAGGGATACAGCTGTTCCCGTACTTGGACGACTGGCTGGTACGCGGCCGCACCAGAGACCAAGTGCAGGCTCATGTCCACACAGTGACACACATTTTCCACGAGCTGGGCATTCTACTCAACAGAGAGAAGTCCACTCTAGTACCAACTCAGAGAATAGAGTTCATTGGAGCAATCCTGGACTCCAGACGTGCCCGAGCCATCCTGCCAGACAGCCGCTTTCATACCATCTCAAGCGTCATTCAAGGACTCAGGGCCTTCCCAATTACCACCATAAGAACATGCCTTGCCCTTTTGGGCCACATGGCCTCGTGTACCTACGTAACCAGGCACGCCAGGCTGCGACTTCGCCCACTGCAGACTTGGGTGTCATCGGTTTACCGTCCTCATCGAGACGACCTGAACATGGTGGTCGCGGTTCCGGCCTCGGTCTTGGCCTCCCTCACCTGGTGGACGGATCGCACGGCGGTCTGTGCAGGAGTGCCCTTTCACGCCCCACAGCCCTCCCTCCACCTAGTTACGGACGCTTCATCTCTAGGATGGGGCGCTCACCTGGGGGAGCACCATACCCAAGGCCTGTGGTCCGCGTCCCAACTAGCCCTGCACATCAACGTCCGAGAGCTGATGGCGGTGCGCCTGGCTTGTCAGGCTTTCCTCAACTTCCTACAGGGCCGTTGCGTGCTGATTCTCACCGACAACACCACGGCCATGTTTTACATCAACAAGCAAGGCGGAGCCCGCTCATCTCCCCTATGCCAAGAGGCCATTCGCCTGTGGGACTTCTGCATCGCCCACTCGATACATCTCACGGTGTCATTCCTGCCTGGAGTCCAGAATACGCTGGCGGACCGTCTCAGCAGGTCCTTCCAGACGCACGAGTGGTCGATTCGCCCGGACATCATCTATTCCGTCTTCCAGAGGTGGGGATTTCCCCAGATCGACCTGTTCGCATCTCGGGCCAACAGGAAGTGCCAGGCATTCTGCTCCCTACACGGGCGAGCCCCAGGCTCTCGGTCAGACGCCTTCCTCATGGCATGGAAAGACCTTCTGTTCTACGCCTTTCCTCCATTTCCGCTGGTCCACAGGGTGCTGCTCAAGATCCGCAGGGACCAGGCATGGGTAATTCTAGTCGCTCCCGCTTGGCCGAGACAGCACTGGTACACCACACTGCTGGAGCTGTCAGTACAGAGGCCGATCACGCTCCCCTTGAGTCCGGATCTCATCTCTCAGGACCACGGCCGGTTGTGTCACCCCGACCTGCAGTCGCTCCACCTCACGGCGTGGATGCTTCATGGTTGAGTCACTCAGAGCGACAATGCTCGCAGGCCGTCCAACAGGTCCTGCTGGGAAGTAGAAAGCCCTCTACGCAGACCACTTATTTAGCCAAGTGGAAGAGGTTCTCCTGTTGGTGTGAGCAACGCGCTACGTCTCCCTCGCAGGCTCCTATCCCCTTGATACTGGAATACTTCCTGTCCCTAAGACAGCAAGGCTTGGCGACATCCTCAATCAAGGTTCACCTCGCCGCTATTTCCGCTTTCCACCCAGGAGAACTCACGTCCTCGGTCTTCTCTAACCCGATGGTCGTTAGATTCCTCAAGGGCTTAGACCGGCTGTACCCACAGCAACGACAGCCGGTTCCGACGTGGGACCTCAACCTCGTCCTCTCCAGGCTCACAGGGCCTCCGTTTGAACCATTGGCGACCTGCTCACTCCTGTACTTATCTTGGAAGACAGCCTTCCTCGTAGCCATCACCTCAGCACGGCGCGTTTCGGAACTTAGGGCGCTGACATCCGAGCCCCCTTACACGGTGTTCCATAAGGACAAGGTGCAGCTTCGCCCCCATCCTGCCTTTCTTCCAAAGGTGGTGTCGCCTTTCCACGTGAACCAGGATATATTTCTCCCGGTCTTCCATCCGAAACCGCACGCTACTCGTCAAGACCAGCGTTTACATTCTTTGGACGTTCGCAGGGCCCTGGCTTTCTATATTGACCGTACAAAGCCATTTAGGAAGACGACGCAACTCTTCGTTGCGGTGGCCGACCGGATGAAAGGTTCACCGGTCTCTTCACAGTGCCTGTCCTCTTGGATCACGTCCTGCATTCGTGCTTGCTACGACCTGGCCGGTGTACCAACGCCACGCCTCACTGCTCACTCCACGAGGGCCCAGGCCTCCTCGACTGCCTTCCTGGCTCAAGTCCCGATCCAGGACATTTGTAGAGCTGCAGTGTGGTCTTCGGTCCACACATTCGCTACTCACTATGCGCTGGTGCAACAATCCAGAGACGATGCTGCTTTCGGGTCAGTGGTTTTGCACACAGCAATGTCTCACTCCGACCCCGCCTCCTAGGTGGGGCTTGGGAGTCACCTAACTGGAATGGATATGAGCAAGCACTCGAAGAAGAAAAGACGGTTACTCACCGTTGTAACTGTTGTTCTTCGAGATGTGTTGCTCATATCCATTCCAAACCCGCCCCCCTTCCCCACTGTCGGAGTAGCCGGCAAGAAGGAACTGAGGGGGCGCTGGGTCGGCTGGGGTATATATCCAGCGCCATAACGGCGCCACTCCAGGGGGCTCCACAGCCGACCCACCGGGTGTTGCTAGGGTAAAAATCTTCCGACGATCATGCACGCGGCGCGCACACACCTAACTGGAATGGATATGAGCAACACATCTCGAAGAACAACAGTTACAACGGTGAGTAACCGTCTTTTCTTTCTTTCTTACTCGTCTGTGTCCCCTAAAAATATAAGGGATACTGAATTCTATAGGTTATGTAGGTTCTTGTTAATATTGACGTACCACTTTTATCTTGCGGTTAAGGCATGTGTTAGAGACAATATTTGTTGTTACAGCACTTTATAATTTAAATTCAATCTTCCCAGCTTAATATACTTTCGCAATATTACCAGTTGGTACCTCTTTTCCTATAATCTTTCGGGTTAGTTCTCTATTGTTGACTTACACCATCATTTCTTGTTTCCAAGGCCTAAAATAGCTAAGCTAAAGTCTTGCAGGCCTCAGCCCACAGGCTTTTGCGTTTCAGCTTGTCTTACTCATGTCTACTACCTAGTTCCTCTAAATACTGATCAATCTTATACTTTTGTAATCCTACAAATAAACTCTGATTAACACACAGTGAATAAGTTATATTACATATTGATTAATCATAACATCACACAATAAATGGATACTAAACTAAAATCATTGGCTACAATATAGTGGCATTATATTATCTACTGTCTTATTATCTATACCTTTCCTAATGGTTCCTAACATTGTTACTTTTTTTTGACTGCCGCTGCACATTGAGCAGATGTTTTCAGAGAACTGGCCACAATGACTTCAAGATCTCTTTCTTAAGTGGTAACAACTAATTTAGACCCCATCATTTTGTATGTATCATTGGGATGATGTTTTCCAATGTGCATTACTTTGCATTTGTCAACACTGAATTTCATCTGCCATTTTCTTGCCCATTCACCCAGTTTTGTGAGAGCCCTTTGTAACTCTTTGCACTCAGCTTTGGACTTAACTATCTTGAGCAATTTTGTATCATCTGCAAACTTTGCCACCTCGCTGTTCTAGATCATTTATGGGTATGTTGAACAGAACTGGTTCCACTATAGATCCTTGGAGGACCCTGCTATTTACCTCTCTCCATTCTGAAAACGGACCATTTATTCCTACCCTTTGCTTCTCGTCTTTAACCAGTTACTGATCCATGAAAGAACCTTCCCTCTTATCCCATGACTCCTTACTTTGCTTAAGAGACTTTGGTGTGGGACCTTGTCAAAGGCTTTCTGAAAGTCCATGTACACTATACTTGTACAATATACACTATATCCACTGGAGGGGCAGAGGGGATGTGAGGGCACCAACCCGCAGGCTCTGAGTCGAACCCCGAAGGGGCCTGCAGCCTGCCAAGAGGGCAGTGTGTGTGTTGTGATGGTGGCTGCAGCCCCTGAGGGGCACCTAGCAAAGCAGGGCAGAGGGGGTGAGGTGGGCTTGAATCCTCCAGGGCAGGAGAATGATGTGAGGCACCCGTGACACCAGTACACTCTTTATAGGAGGGGTGCTGAAAGCCATTGAACAAACTTGTAAATACTGTACATGACGGAAGCTAAGCATTCAGTTGCTAATATTACTTCAGTCAAGCAGGCACAAGGCAAGCAGCAATCACACAACAAACAAACAGACAGACAATAAACTCACCCCAAGGGTCATATAGTTACTTCCTCTCTCCTGGAGAACTCCCTCGCAAAACCTCCGTTTGCTGCTCCTGTTGGCTAGCTCGAACAACTGATACATGAGCATGTGAGTTACGATATTCTGCAAGCATCTTGTGTGTGATTAAGTATTTCGTAAAATTCAATAATAGTGCAGACAAGTTTGTAACGATCTAAGAATATAAGAATTTGATCAGTAATCATTTTTGCATCAATGTTGAAGTCTACACTTATCCCAAGTGACACATACATATGACCATTAGATTTTTCTGAAATAGCTGGGAAATGACTCTCTCTGAAACAAAGTTTAATTTCTATGGAAATCACTGACCTGTGTGACACTCATACCCACTTCCCTTTTCCTCACAATAAGGAATTGGCTTTGATTTCCTGCAAATGACAAACAACTTCTTGCATCGTCCCAAGTTACACATCCCTGCAGCTTTAGAATTTTTGGAAGTGGCCTCTTCCACACCTATCATTTATTTTTGCAGAAAAAGCTACAACAGATCACATTCCTACGCCATTTCCATTTTTCCAAATTCTACTTGAATTAGGGTGACCAGGTGTCCCGATTTTATAGGGACAGTCTTGATTTTTGGGTCTTTTTCTTATATAGGCGCCTATTACCCCCACCCCCCGTCCCGAGTTTTCACACTTGCTGTCTGGTCACGCTAACTTGAATACTGACCGGGCTTTGACTTCTTCTAAGTGACAAAATATCTTTCAGGTCACCTCAAATGACATGTCTGTGTCATTAGATCATTCTGAAGATTCTGCAGTGACGCCTATGACTGTTAATAAGACACCTTCTTGACATGTGTGATCCTAGTAAGTAAATAGAGAAATATCTGCTTAGTTAGTAATAATCTTTATTACTAGTCTTGTTGTAGGAAAAAGTGAGAACCTGGTTTATTTTTCAGATCCTGTGGTGATTTTTTTCAGAGCTGGCAATTAAGTAAACTGAGCAAATCTGATGTGGAAATTCTTGAGACAGTATTAAGATGCAATGCAGCTTTTAGTCTCTTTACAATTAGATCCCTGTTGTAAATTGACACTGTCCTCTAGTGTCTAAAAATGGAATAGCAAGGAAATTTCTACAATATGAAATATACAGTATTATGAAAAACGCAGAAAACAGAGTTTCCTATTGTTTTAAATGCAGTCTAGATTTAGGAGAGCAATAAAGCACAAAATTTTATGGGCAATAATGGAAGCTTATTTTACCCTGGTGTTAATTTTCCAGATTTTAATACCCCACTATGTGTTTGCTAAAATGGCAGACAATTAACACCAGAAGGCCTAAAAAGGTGAAGAACTATAAAATCCAACATACTTCTGAGCTTTCTCTGTTCATTTTTGGGTTGCCAGGCTAGATTTTTCCAGTTCATCTTCAATTAATTTTGACAGATTTAATTTATCCAACTAATGTTGTGCTACTGAGGTAGATTGTAAATAGTATAATTTGGAAGGGGGAAGAAAGGGTTTTTAAAAAAAACTTGTTGGAAGTTTTAACTTCTCCAGAGTCCTTTATTTGACACATTTTTATGTATCTCCTCTCCGAAGTAAAATTCTAATCCGTATTCAATATTTCCATTGTGCACGTTCACAGGGGTCTATGTTGTAGCCTAATTCTGTGCATGTTCAAATGTAACATATTAACCATATCACACTTCTCAGTCTTGTATAGGTAGTCAGTCAAATGCTCAGGACTGGCCAATTTGTGCTTGATACAGATTTGTGTTTTTATGTGAAGGGTGGAGAATGCAAGTGTAGCTTGGTCCTCTGAAGACTACTCTGCAGCTGCCAGTAACCCCAAAGATCACTTTGGCAACTGGGAATTATGTGGATGCAGCAGCATCCTGACCATGTCCCCTTTCCTCCAGCCACACCACCTACATCTTGGACCAAGAGTCTGGGGCTTGTAGAAGCTTTTATGTTAGCTTTGTGGTAAATGTTTCTTAGGAGGCTGAAATTGGACCCTTATTCCAGTTCCTTATCTAAAGGCTTTTTTTTTAAATTGCTTTTTCTGCACAAAATGCTGCCACATGCTACAACCCTGCTTTCAATTTTGTAATTGTTCCTAGAATAAGTAATTAGCTTTGACTGCCTGAACATGACAAACTATTTTTGACAGTGCTTTATATAGAGATGAAGCTTAGGGTCATAGGGTGTTAGGTTCCAGCTATTTCAGAAAGATCGAACAGAAGCGATGTGTCACTTGGGATGGCCAGAGAGGTAGTTTGCAATTTTACACATCCTTAAATGTCACTCATTCAAATTATAAGGCAATGACAGTGGGTGATATGGGGTGGTCTTTGTGTCTCAAAAAAGTATATTTAAAATTCACACATTTGTTTTTATGAACCTTCTGAAAATTTAAATTTATATTAATAAGCCCCCGCCCCCAGTTGGCTTTTTAATAAGGACAAGGGAACGAGGAATGAGGGACCAAGTTTGGTCTTGTGCGATACCTTCAGCCTGGGGAAATCCTCAGCTGACTCATTTTAATTTTTTCAAACTCTATTTCATGTTAATCGGGTTACTCCCCCTCACTCGATATTCCCTGTGATCCCCGTAACTGGGGGTCTGCTAGAGGTGCCAGTCCCAGAAGATGCCCACTCAAATGCCTTTTCCGCGGCTGCCTGGGCGGCTGGCTCTCCGCAGCTCGCTGCTCCCCTGCCGGGCCGGTGTCTCCTCGGGCAGGGTGTCAAAGGCCGAGCACACGGGCGGGGCCGCTTCTCTTGGCTTGGCGGGTTTAGCAGGGGGCAGCAGGCTGTCCTTGGGGACGGCAGGCCCAGGCGCTGGCTCCGCCCGCTGGTTGAGGGGGGCTGGGGCCCATGGACCGAGGGGACCTTGTCACTGACCAGTTTCAGGTTGCGGGGGGGGGGCAGTACCGCCCCCCCAGGCCCCGGTGTGTGGGTCTGTCTCCCCGAGGGTCCCGGCCAGGGCGGGGGGGGGGTCCGAGCCTTCCCGCCCCAGGACCAGCGCAGCAGATCACTCGACCCGGGCCCGGCATGGATACGTCTCCCCCCGCCCCGCTCCCGGGCGAGCCCCTTGGAGGCCCCGCCTGTGGGGCGGGCGATCCGGAAAGGGGCGGCGCCGGCAGCCGGCAGGTCCCCGCATGGCATTGACGCGCGGGAGGTAGCGGTCTCATTGTGGCCGGGATGGAGGCAGCGGCGCCGTCGGCTGGCGGGTTCTCCCTGGGCAGAGCCCTCTCCTGCACCCCGCGCCCGGCCTGCCTGCAGCGCTCGGGCTCCCTGGAGCTCGGCGGCGGCTGCAGGGCACCGGTGCAGGTGCGGGTGCTGGTGATCAACACGGGCGGCACCATCGGGATGGTGGAGGAGGAACAAGGTGAGGGGAGTCTGGCGGGGCAGGGGGCTGGTGTGGGCGGGAGCTGGGAGGGCACCACCAACCCGCAGGCTCTGGGTCGATGGGGGCTGCAGCCCCTGAGGGGCACCGAGCAAAGCAGGGCGGGGGTGGGGGGGAGGTGGGCATGAGTCCTCCAGGGCCGGAGAGTGGTGTGAGGCACCTGCACCAGCCGCACCAGAACACTGTTTATAGGCTGGGTGCTGAAAGTCATCGCACAAACTTGTAAACACAGCCCATGATGGAAGCCAGGTATTTAGTTGCTATTATTGCTTCAAGCTTGGGGTGCTGCTGCTCTCCTAGTTCCAGCACCCTGGGGGTACCCACCTGTCGCGGTGATTGAGGGGTGGGCATGAATCCCTTGGGGTGCACAGCAAGGTGGGGGGGGGATTGGGTGTGAGCTCCCAAGGGGAATCCAGAAATAACTAGCTCCTTTTTAAACCTAGGTAGGAGGCCCTAAATTGCTGTTTGATTCAGATATCACTAAAATGATGCTGGTAGGCTGGGGAAAGCTATCTGAAAACCTAGCCAGGACTATATCTCTCCCTGTCATTTAGAGTGTATGTCCACAGTTGGTTACATCATCAGTAATAGTCAGGACTAGAACTAGTTGGGAATTTTCTGACAAAACAGGTTTTTGCTGGAAAATGCCAATTTTATCAAAACCTAAGTGGTTGTGTGAACAATTTGGTTTTAACCAATTTTCTCCGAAATGCAGGCAGGGTTCTGTCAGAAGCTGCCTGGTTTCCTGCCAGCTTACCTGGGATACCAGTGTCCCCAGCAGTGGGATAGCTCCACCATGCAGACTGCCAGGAACCCCAGAGTTTCCAGGGTTAGCAGCCCTGCCATGCTGAGTGCCTTGGAGGCAGGGCTTCTAGGCTCCCTGCCATGGAGCCAGGGGGCTAGGTGCTCTGGGAGCTCCAACTCTAGGAGGGGCGCTCAACATATATCTACAATGCAATTAAAAACCCACGTCTGGCCCATGCCAGCTGACTTGAGGCTTGGGCTAAGGGGCTGTTTAATTGCAGTGTAGATGTCTGGGCTCAGGCCCAGGCTCTGTGACCCTGTGAGGTGGGAGGGTCCCAAAGCTTGGGTTCCAGCACAAGCCCGAACATCTATACTGCAGTTAAACAGCCCCTTTGCCCAAGCCCTGTGAGCCTGAGTCAGCTGGCACAGGCCAGTCACAGTTTTTCATTTCAGTGTAGACATACCCTGGGGCTTCTAGCTCCTCACTCTGACTTTCTGGGCATACTAGAAAATCCATCTATTGGCTTTGGCTTGTGGAGAGAGAAGAGATGCTTATGGGTTGGTTTGTTTATGAGGGAGAGGGAAGGTAGGACATTAATATGGTCAATAAGATTAATTCTGGCTGGTCAATCTTGGTGACAGTGAGTGAAGATACATTGTTAGTTTTGTTTTCTATTGATTGTCGATTTTAAGAATCTGTCAAGTGTGGAATTTTTTTCTTGTTTAAACAAAGACATTTTAAGGTAAGATCTTTCCATTTTACTTTTGGGTACTTTCCTCTATCTTGCTTTAATCACATCCCTCTAACACTGAATAATAATCTTGTATCCACTGGTGTCAGGAGAGCT